AGATGGAGTCAGTCAGGCTAGGGCAGAGGAGATGACACAGCTGGTCTGGCCAGTTTATATCCTGCATGACCTTCACCTCCTGTCTCCCGGGGCCTTCACCTCCCGTCTCCCGGGACCTTCACCTCCCGTCTCCCAAGACCTTCACCTCCTGTCTCCCATTCTTGTTGTTTTGTAAATTCAGCTCTATACTCTGAAAGTGTATATCTTGAGTAGTTTAGGGCTATTGATTTTGGAGATTAATTTTTGAATTTGAAATGTTGTTTTGGGTCATGAGTTATGCCAAATATTATTTATTGTAGGTCATGGGTCATGCCAGTTATTGTTGTTTAAAATAAGGGCTAATTATTGTTGTTTAAGACAAGGATGAACATGGTTTTTGCTTTAAACTTTTCTGCATAAACCTGTGGTTTTGGAAATGGAAGAACAGAACAGCCTTGGAGAGGCTACTCTCACCATTCTCCTGAATTGCTGGCCTTCTGACAAATAAGCGTGGTGGACCCATCCCCGTCTTCTGCATGTTGCCTGGCAGGGACAGGCGGCTGGATGCTTTTCATCCGGTAACAGAGTCTTGCGCCATGTACAGGAACTTCAGCTCAGGGAGAAGCCCAGCAGGGTACTTGGTGACTGACCCCTGGGGTGTGTGTGTGTGAGTGGGGAGGATGACGCCCACGTGGGCAGATGTCTGGGAACTGAAGGATGGCAGGGCACATCGGGAGGCTGTGGAGGTTGTGGATCCTCCCTGAGCCACTGTCCAGGAAGAAGCTGGGTAGAGACGTCCTGGGCTCAGGAGAAAGATGGGGGCAGAAGACAAGGGCGTGGGCATCATTTCTGCCCACAGCAGGAGGCAAGGGACAGAGGAAAACTTCTGAGGACTCACAGTATGGCCTGGTAGAAGAAGGGCCAGGTTCAGCACAGGGTTGGTGGGTTCGAACCCAGCCTGGGCCTGCTAAACAACAATGACAACAACAACAAAACAATAGCTGGGCATTGTTGGCAGGCACCTGTGGTCCCAGCTACTTGGGAGGCTGAGGCAGGAGAATCGCCTGAGCCTAGGAGTTGGAGGTTGCTGTGAGCTGTGACTCCATGGCACTCTACCAAGGGTGACAAAGTGGACTCTGTCTCAAAACAAACAAACAAACAAATCAAATATACTTACTGTACTTTGAACTTTTTTTGAAAATAATTTAATTAAGGCCTGTAATCCTAGCACTCTGGGAGGTCAAGGCGGGTGAATTTCCTGAGCTTAGGCATTCCAAACTAGCCTGAGCAATAGTGACATTAAAAATAGAAAAACTAGCTGGGTGTGGTGGGAGCCTGTAGTCCCACTACTCAGGAGGCTGAGGCCAGAGGATCATTGGAGCTCAAGAGTGTGAGGTTGCTGTGAGCTACGATGATGCCTTGGTGCTCAGGGTGACAGAGTGAGACTGTCTTGAAAAAAAAAAATCCAGGAAGTGGTAATTTGATAAAGAAAAAAGCAAAAGGAAAAAAACAAAGTGGGGGTTCTAATAGAATCCATTTTCATAATGTTGATACGCCAATGGCCACATACTCAGCAAGAGCTAAAGAGAAATAAATACAGCTGCCTATTTTGACATGGACACCTGGTGGGATGAAAAAACTTCTAAAATCAATAACCACAGTGTGGCCCTCATACAGGTATTTGGCCCAAATTCATACTGCTTGGGTGGTCCAAAAACCCTAAATGGTGGCGTTTATTTGAAAGCCATTTCGTGTAGGTGGTACCCCAAGCTAACTAGCAGAAGCAAAAAGAATTTTTCTCAAGTGGAATACAGCTTCAACTCAGACCTTAAAGAATTCTAAAGCAGTGTTTTAGGGAAAATGAGCAGTGCGTCAATCCCAGGCAACTAACCCACATTTTTTTTTCTTTTTTTTTGAGATAGAGTTTTACAATGTCGCCCTTGGTCGAGTGCTGTAGCATCACAGCTCACAGCAACCTCAAGGTCTTGGGCTTAAGCAATTCTCTTGCCTTAGCCTCCCAAGCAGCTGGGACACCAGGCACCTACCATAATGCCTGGATATTTTGTAGTCATTGTTGTTTGGCAGGCCTGGGCTGGGTTTGAACCCACCAGCACTAGTGTATGTGGCTGATGCCCTAGCTGCTGAGCCACAGGTGCGGAGCCAACCAT